ATGCAGTTGATGTCCTGTAGAGTTGACGCTCGGTTGGTGAAATGAGTTGAAGTAACTCCCCTCTTCCCTCGGCAGTTTATAAGTCATGGCGATATATAAATATAATTAGACTTTTAGCCAGTTGAAGTAAACAGTTACGCAGAATTCTAAATGAACACTGCACACACTATTCTATGAGGGATGCTACTTAAGTGCTGTTTAACCCTTTAAGCACCAAGCGGGGTCAAATGACCCCTTTTTTGAAAATGGACTTTAAATTCGTACATCTATTTTTATTTCTGCCGATCAGTTGACTTTTTGTAAATTCTTTAGAACCTTAGTTCCAAATTCAGATACGCCTCTCACGTGGCTCTTTCAAGACACGACAGTTGTAGTTGCATTTCGACAATTTCTGTTACACTCAATTGGACTTGTCTTTCACTGCAATACTGAATACGTCCGCACGGTCAGTGAGAGAGTTGAATAGAATTCGACAAATAAGTGGAATGAATTCAGGTGAAGAAGATTCAATTTCTGAAGATGATCAAGGCGAAAGTCAATGTTATCTTTCGAGATAATGAGGAAACTCAGTATGATAATGTGGTTGCCGATGAAAAATTAGTATTTTTTGAATCTCCGCAGAGGACAGAGGCGCCAAAGATTTTAATCGGATTCTGAAAGTGAAAGTGAACAGATGCCACGGCTGTTGATGGAACTGTTCGGCACCGAATTCGAGAAGGGCTGGCAATCGGAAGGCCAACACTTACTTTAAGAGCAGTATCACTTATCAGAGCCAACGGCACACGCCCAAAGAAATATTAAGTCTGGTAAAGCTGCCAGCGCACTGTTGGTGATAATAGATCACCGCATCATTGAAATTATAAAGAATTAATAAACAGAAGCAGAAGCTTTACGAGTTTTGGGGACCGCATAGAAGCTTTCTGTATTTTATGCATTCATTGGAGTGTTATATGCACGTGGCGCTTATGTGGGAAAAAATCTATCCATTTCCCATCTGTGGAATCCGAAATGGCGACCTCCCGTGTCCTCGAGTGCAATGAGTTGGAACGGCTTCTCAGAAATTTTGAGATTATTTGGTTTCGATGACAGTAGCATCATTATAAAGAAGTGATCGCTGAAGTTGGCTCGAATAAAGTCCGAGCAGGGAGGCCCAATTCGAGCAATTGTTGGCCGTTTATCAGCAACAACGCGCCGAATATTCTCTTCCAAAATGTAAATCGTTACGGTCGTATCTTGCTAGCGTCTTTACCTAACCCCACAAAAATTAGGCAAACGGTGTTAACCGCGCGATCTTGGAGCTCCACGCCACAGTCTCACGACTTTGATTCTTTCCTTGGTTGTACCACTTAGTGCCGTCTTAACCACGAAAAAAACAGTAACCAAGGCTATATGGAGTTCTCCAAGACCGTTTCATTATGATCGGCTACATTTTTGAAGAAACATGGACCAATAGAGCACACCAAACAGTGATTATTTGGGAATGTCACGGCGTCTCAAGAATGGCTTGTGGATTATCATCATTCCAAATGGGACCATTCAACCACAAAAAAACTAAACTAAAAATGAAAACTCATAAACCTTGGACCACAACCCACAGGCAGATTGCCTACTCCTTATCAAACACATGTACACATATGAACAGTGGAGAGCGAAAACTGAGTGTAAATGAAAAGAAATAATAAAAATAAAAAATAAAATAATATCATACAATATAAAATAAAATAAAGCAAAATGAAATGAAATAAAATAATATAAAATAAGATAAAATAAAATAAAATAAGATAAAATAAAATAAAATAAAATGAAATAAAATAAAATAAAATAAAATAAAATAAAATAAAATAAAATAAAATAAAATAAAATAAAATAAAATAAAATAAAATAAAATAAAATAAAATAAAATAAAATAAAATAAAATAAAATAAAATAAAATAAAATAAAATAAAATAAAATAAAATAAAATAAAATAAAATAAAATAAAATAAAATAAAATAAAATAAAATAAAATAAAATAAAATAAAATAAAATAAAATAAAATAAAATAAAATAAAATAAAATAAAATAAAATAAAATAAAATAAAATAAAATAAAATAAAATAAAATAAAATAAAATAAAATAAAATAAAATAAAATAAAATAAAATAAAATAAAATAAAATAAAATAAAATAAAATAAAATAAAATAAAATAAAATAAAATAAAATAAAATAAAATAAAATAAAATAAAATAAAATAAAATAAAATAAAATAAAATAAAATAAAATAAAATAAAATAAAATAAAATAAAATAAAATAAAATAAAATAAAATAAAATAAAATAAAATAAAATAAAATAAAATAAAATAAAATAAAATAAAATAAAATAAAATAAAATAAAATAAAATAAAATAAAATAAAATAAAATAACATAAAATAAAATAAAATAACATAAAATAAAATAAAATAATTACAGAGAACAATTTCCTTCGAAAGCTTTGTTACCGTTTTTAATATTCCTGCTAATCACTGCAGAAACGACAGCCTGTAAAACCCGCCGATTTGTGTTTTCGACATGTTAAGCACTCATAAATATGCTACACATACACATATGCATTTCAAATACTAACTCTGCTCTTAGGTACAAATTCATGAAAAAAGTGAGCTTTTGAATGCTAAATGCACTAATGGGATGCATTATAGCTTAGGCCTGCTTCTGGGTATGCTTCCGGGTCGTGAAACCTTGTCGTATATCTTACAAACTTGAGAAACTTTTAACCAATCCTTGTGTGGACCTTAGTCATGACTAAAAAAGACATAGATTTAGTGAAGCCACTTCGACTTATTCGGCTTAAGGATTCACTAGAGTATTTCAGAGGCGTCTGCTTACCAGAGCTGTAGCTGCTAGCGGGTGTCAGTTTTGAGGCAAGCGGGGTGCTATATGTAAATGTATCCTAATTCTTCTAGCTATATGCCCAGCGATGTTGCGTCCTGGTATTGTCACCCGCCACGTAAAAATCTGCCCCAAAGTAAAATTTTCAAAACTTTTGAAAGCAACCACGGTTTAATGGTATGCATCTAAAATATTCGGATAATTAATTGGAATGCTGCCACGAAAATTCCAAGTTGCATATGGAACAATTGCACCATCTTTAAAGCATATTTCTAAGTGGTTCCGAATATTCCAGATCCGACCTTTTTCCATAGAGGACAAACCCGGAGAAGGTCGACCAAAATCTTCCACTGAGGATGTCACTGTAGCTTAGGTGAAGTCTAAAATTGACGAAGATCCACGATTGACAGAAGAAATGATTGCGAATGAATTGGACGTGCCATGGCTGTAGCACGAATATTACGAACTTCAAATGAGTTACAAAAAGAGGCCCGAGTGCATTTTGTACATTTTTTCATAAACAAATCCGAAAACGGTCAGTCTAGCAACGTTAGTGAAGTCGCTACTGGTGACGTATCGTGGTTCTGTAAGTACGATCCAGAAACCAAGCAGTAGTCCAAGGTATGGAACCCAACAGGAGCAAATCCATTCGTAAAATCTAAGCAACAAAAAATCAGCAGCAAAAGTAATGATGTCAGCTTACTTCACCAGATCTAAAATCGTAGCTGCTATTCCACGGGAAAAGGCTCAGACGGTAGCTGCGATTTCTGGTGATTTCGAAAAATAATGAAAAATTTATAAGGAAAGGTCTTTAATAGCAACGAGGAGATATTAAATGCGGTTAATGCTGAACTTAGTAACCTTAAAAAGCCAGATTTTGAAGATTGTCTTCAAAATCGATCTATAGTCTTATAAAATGAAATGAAATGAATGGCTATTAAGTAGAGAAGATAAAAAAGGACAAAGATTACGAGCAAATACAAAAAGAATTTTATCTTTTTTCTCTAGTCAACTAACCGAACTCTTTTTAATCCCCTCAAATATGCATGTATTTTTCAAATGCGGTTGCCCCACGGCAGCTGTCAAGCCTTCCGAGTGTATTTTCGACATGAAATAAGGGCTCCACATAAATAAAGTAAATCCATCAGCTTTTCTGAGGCGACTTAGTATAAGCTGGAGAACCCTCCATTTATTGGAAAAATATCAAGAAGTCGTTACAAAGCGCCAATTATTATTATTATGAATTCATTTTTGTAAAAATCTGCAGGAAATAAAAACTGATTTGCTTTCTTCATACAAATCAAAAAATTACCAGAAAATTTCTTTCCATCAACCACTGTGAGGTTATGTTTAGTGCTTACCAAAGACGTTGCATTTCTTAGTGAGAAATACATACTTATTTTTTATGTTGTATTTTTATGTATTTACATAGATATGTTTCGGGCATATAAAAGTATGTATGTATGTATGTATGTATATATGTATGTATGTTTGCTATAAATGAGTGTGACTTCAATAAATTTGTGCGCAAATATTTCTTTGAAGATATACATATGAACATTTGAACACACATACACATGTACATACATTTATATCTATGCATAGTTTTATTGTTGTACATAAATATTACGTCTTCAGCAATTATGAGAGCCCAGTTTTGAAATTTGAATGTTGACAACCACACATGCCTATTTACATACATATGCAGCCAACAATTGTCGATCACAACAACAAATAGAAATCTAATTCAAGCTAGCAATCGGCATGTAAGCTACATACATCACATACACATCCAAAGAGCGACAGCTGACTATCGTGTTGTCGCTGTCGCTACCGCTGCCATCGCCGCAGTTGACGTTACCATTCGTGTGTTACGCTGTTTAGCGTCTCAGTGGCGCACGCTGACGCCATCCATACACATTCAGTAGGAGACTTGGAATCGGAAAACAACATCACTATCGTTGCCTGCGATAAAAGAACAACACGAATGGGAACGACTTAATGCGGTGTATGATAGCAGCAAAATTACCGCCAAGTCGTAAAAGCAGCAGAAAAACACCACAACTGAACGGAGCTAAGCTGGTGTACTATTTATCAAAAACAGCTCCGTAACTACTCAGTTATTAACGAATAGTCGAATAGTCACAACGTGTGCAGAGTTGTCCACTCCAGCCAAGTTAGACTAACAACGCGCAAAAATTTACGACATTTCAATTTATGTCCAATAAAATCAACAATAAATAAATTAAAAAAAAAAAAAAAAACAAACAAAAAAACCGAAATTAAATAAAAATGCGCTCACAAGTTATTTGTTTTTGTGTAGCACTCTTGCTCATCGTTTGCATTCTTTAATTGTTGCAAATGTCGCATTAAATTGTTGTTGTGCACGTAAATCCTTCCAAAAATGAAAAATAAAAAAATGTAATGACCAACCATAAAATTAAAAAAAAAATATTTAATATTTGTAGGGATTAGTCGGAAAAGTGTTGCCATAAAAATGTAATAACCAAATAAAAAACCGTTAAATTCGAGTAGCCGCGTATTTCACACCATTCCCACCTCAAATTTTATAGTGGTCAATTAGTAGATAAAATCAGCATCCACATTCCCCCTTCAAAAAAAGCACTCACCCTTTGTATGTAAATTTGTTTATAATCTCACGTGTTGGTTTGTCAAGATGAATACAAAAGATGGCGAGAGCAGCGATGAGACGTCCTCCTGGCGAAGCAAGGAGGAGCAGCGACAACTGGCGCGCATGGAATGTAAGTATCGAATGGTTGTCAAAATACTTAATTAACTAATAATTTTAATAATAAATGAAAGTAAAACTTATTTATAATCAGTAATATGTTAAAAAAGAAAAAATTTAAATTTTTTTTATCAAAATCATTTAAAATTCGGCACCGAAATGGGCAATTACCTCGAAAGTGCAGGAAACCTCGAAACTCCTAGTAGAATTTTGAACATAATTACGGGCGGGGGTCAACCTCACAGGTCCCTCTTCCTTGTTGAAACAACCGAGAGCATTTTTTTTTACTTAATTTTTAAAAAAGAAATTTAATTTAATTCTAAATAATTCCAGTTTCCGTTTGTTCCACGAACGAAACGTTGATGAATCCAAAAAAAAAAAATTGTGTTATTTATACTATTAATGAGTCCCGTTAGTATTATCAAATGATGTGCCATCTCTAACTTCCTTATATATGTATATAATTATATATAATTGGTGCTTTGTAACCGCTGAAGTGATGTTCCGGCCAAGCTCATTCTCCAATTTGTGGTTTTGCGTCTTGAAGTTTTTCCAACAAATGGAGGGGCCTACAGTTTCAACTAAGTCTCCTTCTCCTTCGAACGGCTGATTGTTTTTTTATGAGGAGTCTCTATTTCATGTCAGAAATACACTCGAAGGGGTTGACATTCCCTGCGAGGCGCGGCCGCAAGTAGAAAATATAGCTTTTTTTTCATTTAAAGTAATTTTCTAAAAGTTTTTTGGATGTTAGTACGACACCAGGATTTGAACCCGAGCCTTCTGAATGGCAGCACGTAATCGCAACCACTCGGCCACCTGAGGTCTAGCTTTTATCAGCCGCCTCTCGAATGCCGATATATTTTTTCGTGCAGGCGAGAATGCAGGGTTTTTTTCTTGGGTGGTTCATATCTTCGCTAAAATCGTGTATTTCTGAATGAGTTACACAAAGAGTTAGCTAATGGGTTGTCATTATTTTTTACTTCTATAAGGTACTTCGTTCTGTTCCTTTCAACTTAACGCTTAAGCAGAGGGATATCAAGGACTTTATGTGTGTGGATGTTACGAACGCACCACTTTGCGCCCGTTATTACCTTTGGAGTTATTTTTTTTACGCTAGAAATCTCGATCAAAACCGGATAACTTTGAAAAGTGTTTTGTTGAACTTCATAACATATTGCATACATATATAATATACAGGGATATTCATAAACGAAAACTAAATGCATTTAAAATTTTATAATCCTTTTTATCAGGAAATTTCTTATTGTTTATAAAGTTTGAGCTTCAGTATTATACTGGTAAAACAATACATCATTCAAAAGACAAACTTCAAGCCGTTTAAGTTAACTTTCGACGACTATTGGGCGGTTTCTATGTCATAACTTGACAAATGTTCGTTTTTGAGTGCCCAAGAGTTAAAACTTTTTCCGCATAAACACAACCTTTCGCGTAGCCCAACAAAAAAAAGCCCAACGGCGCCACATCGCACAATCTCGACGGTCAATTGGCATCACAAAGACAATAGAGATTACGCGGTCAGGAAATTTCTTTCGCAATAAAGCCATATTCGCCCATGTTGTTTGCAAGTGGCATCTTGTTAGTGAAACCAAATATTGTCAATTGACGGTAGAAGTCTCGCCGTTTTAATTTTCAAACAGGTAAGATTCAATCACACCTCCGGATCAAAGAGCCTCACACACTCGAAAACTCGTCGTCCACTGCTTGCAGGTCAGGCACCCAAACGACGTATGTTCGTATGTATGGACTTTATGTTAACTTAGGTGCAAGCGCAAAATGAGGTCATAATGTGTCATAAAAAAGTCACATAGGTACATGCGGGACTTCGATTAGACTTCCAAGTACAGTGGCGATATTTGTGGTGAAAACGAATGCGCAGGTCTTACAGTCTCTCTTCTCGAAATTCGAATAAAGGCTTCAATGTTGACCTCCAATGCGTCAATCGAACCGGGTTTGTCTGCATAGACATTAACTTTAACATATCCCCACAGCCAATTGACCGGTACCGAACAAGAAATAAAATGTTCACCGAACTCACCTCTCAATAAGTCCATTGTTACGCGTGCTGTGTGGCATGTGGCACCGTGCTGTTGAAGCCACATGTCTTACAAGTCAAGCTCTTGAGTTTTGGGCAAAAAAACAGTCTCTTATCATTTTACGGTAGCGCTCACCATTCACAGTTACGTTGCGATTCTCATCAACTTTGAAGAAGTACGTTCCAATGATGCCAGCAGCCCATAAACCGCAACAAGCTGTGACTTTTTCTGGATGCATTGGTAGCTCTTGCAATGCTTCTGGCTGATCTTCACTCCAAAATCGAAAATTCTGCCTCTTAACGCACCCATTAAGCCAAAAATAAGCTTCGAAGCGCGCGCATTTTGATAATAAAATTCAATAATTGACAAGCGTTCTTCATTTGTAAGACGCAAATTAAAGACCAAACTGAGAGGTCCGACAGTCATACAAAACACGAGACGTACATCAGCTGCTTAAACCAGTGTTGCCAAAGAGATGATAGCTAAAAAATTACCGTATACATAATAGCTCTGTTCGGTGAGAAATGTTAGTACGAATTAGCAAGTAACGACAGTAAGAGAGTAATAGTCCAACATGTATTATCATTACTTTTAGCGTAGCAACAACTTTGCTTCGCAGTGTATTACCGCTCATTTGGTCGTCACAGCTTACTAGTAAAATAAGGGGTAAAGCCAAACTATAGAAAAATGGATGCATTTTTTGAATTTATTGTAGGAATATGGGAAAAGGAATAGAATTTCTATTTAACCATTTCATTGAACATATATAACGTAGTATAAACATATATTATTCAATTATTATTTTGTTACAAAATGGCGGTGATGAATTCCATTATTTATTCCATGATTTTTGAAAGGCATCCACGGGAAGACCGATTTCTTCTAAAGTATAAGACCTAGAACAGAAAAACAAAAAGTTTTATGATCTACAAACCATGGACTTTGGAAGTACGAACGGATTTATTTTTTAACTAATTTTTATGAAAGCGGCACATATCTTTTTTTAAAGATTGATTTTCGACTAAAAATTATACACTAAATTCAAAAAAGATATTTGTAAAGTCACCATCAAAATTTCATATAAATCGATGCAAAAGTGTCCGAATAATCTGTTCACCCCGTTTGAAAAATTTGTTTTTGAGAAAAAAACGCTTTAAAAGCTTTCATTGTACTCAGCACACGCTCTGAGGGGCTGCAGCGAAATGAAAAGTTCAGCCATTAGAAATATTTTTTTTTTTTCACTTAAAAACCAATTGCATATCATATTTAGGACCCAAAAGGTGTGAGCAAAAAAAAATTACGTTTTCCGAAATCCTGGAGTTGAATTTAATTCAACAAACTAACCTTTGGGCACCTATTTTGTTAGTGTGTCATTCATATTATTTTCATTTTTAATCAATTTTGGTAGGATCACAAATTTGCCTTACTGGCTAAAATTTTCACAGCATGATTCAGTAAAAATCAGTTACAATATTTACTGCCCATAAAATCACCGAGCAGAGCCGAAAATTCGAATTGGAAAAATCTGGCGTGGTAATCGTGTATCAAAATTTTTCGAAAATAAATTTTTTCTTGTTGCGGTCAGCCCTCGGCAGCGAATGAGAAGCTCTCCAGATAACTATACTCCAAAGCACTACACAAATCAGAGTTGAAGCTCCGCCGAAAATCGCTTCACGTCACCGAGAGGAGGTGAGAGCAAAACTACGTTCTTCAGTTGAATTAAATATTTATTATAAGATTATAAATTGTATTAAATAGTTAGTGATTTATTATTATTATTATATATATATATATATAAAATTATTATTATTATATATATATATATATTATGTTATTAAATATTTATTAAATGGTATAAAATTACTTCTTATACAAATAAATTATAATTATTATTAATTTAAAATAAACTATTTTTTTTTATTAAATATGTGGTCGAAGGAGTGAGAGAGCAGAGGCCATGTCAGGCTACATGAAGGGAAGCAGGGGTACACCGGCAAGTCTAAATAATGATCACTAAGTTGTGGGAAAAATTTTATATAATTTTCACTTTATAAACATGATTTTGAGCCAAGCGACTCCTACAACTAGTGATGTGCGTCTTATTGTCTTTCCAACAAATGCGGAAGCCGCCTCCGAACAGCCGATGAATTTTTATAAGGATCTTTTATTTCCTAACAGAAATACACTCGAGGTCTTGACACGCTCTGCCGAGGGATAACCGTAATTAGTAGAATTTATTTGATATAATTTTGAACGCAAATTCTGACGGATGGTGCTAAGCATTGCTATCTACTCGATTATTACTGTTAAAAAAAATTAAGTTAATTTTTAAGCATTTCAGTTTTTATTTATTTGTTATAAATAATTATTATTATTTCCCAAAAAAAAAGCAAGAAATCTTCCTTTTCGTTTCACTAATGCAAATTATTTTCAAAATATATTATAATTTCTTTCAGTGTATGAGTCAAAATAATCAAATTATAAAGCCTCACTTTCCTTCACAATAATCAAATGAGTGCATAATATGTATATATATAAATATGTATGTCTATATATACATTCATACATACATATGTACTGTATCTAAAATGAATATTTTTGTGTGATCTCATAATTTAACGAGCAATTTGAGAATTGCGTACAAATGATGAAGCTATACCGCCATGGTGTCATTAAATTTAGCCATCACAGGTAATAAAAAGCAAAAAAAAAAAAATTACGCCTATTTGTAATATACACTAGTACATGCAATGTAGTTGTATTTACATATCATATGCTGTAAAAGAAAATTAGCAAACTTTCCTGCCCTGCTGCATACCATTGTCCATAGTAAAAAGAAAAAGAGAAAAAAAGGAAAAATAAATATATTAAATTATATCATCTACAAAAATCAATTTTGGACATGACAGCGAAAATCTGGGTGTGAACTAAATAGTTTGGAAAAAATCTACATACATAC